CCCGTCCTCCGTACGGGGTTGGCATATAAGTATAAAATGCTTATTGCAGTTATACTCAAGCTTTGCGTTTGCAATGGGAGAGGACACAGTTTCATAAAATTTGCTTCTTTAAATTCACGGTATATTTAGTTCACGGTAGTATTACACATCTACCATAGGCATAATGTTCTACCACTTCACCTAAACAAAAGAGAAAAATAAGTTATTAAAATTTTTTAGAATATCACAAATTATTCATGAAGTCAAAAACATTAAGATAACTGTAAACAATCATACTTTGACAGTTCTCAATGTGTATCACAGTTTTTTGTTACTGCTTAGTTGAAATAAGCTGTTTTCATAAATGCAAAAAATAATAGTGATGCACCCTATTGGTAAATCTTATAACTTTAATGCTTTTGCATATGATAGAACCAACATTTTTAGTTGAAACAGCTGGCTAAATTCTTTAATTCCCTTTAAATATGAATACTCATAAGGTTAACATGGGGAACTAAAGAGCCACTGGGGCGGAGCCCGAAAGGATTTTTGAGATAAAAATATGTCTCTATGTTAATCGCAAATGTGAGCTATCATCATGCAAAATTTCAGCCAAATCCGTCTAGTAGTTAATGCGTGATTGAACTTCAAACAAACAAACAAACAAACATACATACAAACTTTCACATTTATAATATTAGTAAGATAAGATATTAGCCTATCGTGGTCAGTGAACAAACGATTTGATCGCCACATTAAAAAGGCACAGCAGCTTTTTATATAAAACATTAAACATTTATTTATAGGTGAATAAATTCACTTTAATGCTATATAGTTGGTATTTGGGGTTTTTGTATTTGAAAAATAATATAAATCAAAATGTTTGAATAACTAAATGTTTTTTGTATAAAATATAACCATTCAATGATGATTATGATTATGATGATTGTGATGATTGATGATGATGATGGGGATAATGATCTTTTTTTTATCAACAACTCATACTTCTTAGATCTCCAATGTTTTTGCCTTTACAAAAATGTGTACTTTTACTACATTTCTTCATTCTTGAGAACACATTTATTTGGTTTTCGTTTGAAATTTATAGCGGAAAATCATTAAATTTGCCATATTTTTTCTTTTCGGTCATAACTTTTAAAACAAGATGGTAGTCGATTTTTTTTTTACATTTCCATGTTGGGAAATAAATACCAAACATTTTGTATAGCCTATCTGGAATTTCATATTAAGAATATTTCTTTCAAAATTAAAAAGTAAATTAGGCCTTGTCATACTGTCTAAATTTATTATGTTACCATTTTAAAATTTTTAATTCAATTACGAAAATTCCAGTATACGGGTTTGGTTCCATTCCACTCCACTGTGACGCAACGAAACGACAACGACGGAGCCAACGGAAATAGAACTAAAGCAGCCATCTATATCTTATATATATAATACGCTAAGCCGATTTTTGTAAACAGAACTCCTCCCACATTTTTGGACCGATTTTGATGATTAAAGTGTCAAAAAAATGGCCCTGATCCGTAGTTTTGCAAAGTGTTTTTGGTTTTTTGAAGTCTTTATTAGTTTGGGCAGGATCTTCCATCAAAGTTGGGTTTTCTCCCATAAGATTAACATGGGGAAATGTAAATATTTAATTGGAAACTTTGTCTCCACTGATTTGAGATAACGGCTGGACGTAGAAACTTGGTAGAGGTCTCCAAAGAATGGCCTTGGTCTGTAGATGAGTTATCAAAAGAAACACGAAGTAAATTCCCTTAGGGCTCTGCCCCAGAAGCCTTTAAAGATCCCTCGACAAATTTGTTTACATTTTGGCCATGTGGATAATACTTTTTAATGAAACAGCTGTTGATTTTTCAATTGTGTTTTAAACAACACACATTTATTGGGAGTTATTGAATTGTCCAAAAGAAGTATTTGCAATGCTATTTACTGATTTTAAAATTGATTTTCTTCTGTATCATGCCATGTTTTGCAATATAACGTTCCATTACGAAATCAGTTGACAATCATTTTATAGTAACGCTTACAATTAATTATTTCTTATTGAACTTTCTTATATCTATTGTACGGGTTGGTGTCTGCCTTTATTACCACTTTTGCCTATATTTTATCATATTATTCTAGACAGATCATCATAGGTTCATGAGATTATTGTCATACATGTTTTCAATCATTGGAAAAGTCTTTGATTGTGTAATACATTACAAAATAATACAAGTGCAGAAGGGCACGTTGTCCGTATGAGCCGTGTCCATATTTTGTTTAATTAATATTAGTGTACAGCAACTGGATAGAACATTTTACAATACTTATGTAGAAATATGTGTAGGATTTAGAAAGTCATTAAACTGGAAAACTGCAATTTACTGCAGACTTTTCAGAGAGGTTACTTCGATGTATTCATTCCGCTTAGTAAAAACATAATAAGGGTATGTATACAAATAAGAACTTCAACTTTTAGAGAGCCTTTGAATGTTATTAGACTGACAAAGAGGGTTCTGCATGTTAACTATTGCTACTCAGCAACAAAAACCATTTAATTTATCTCAAAAAAATATATTCTTAAAAGTACTTAGCAGCAACCTAAAAATACTATGTAACTTACTTATACAGTTACAAAAAGCCCAAACTCACATTTTTAATTCGGCTTATATTTTCCCAACAGATTAATTATCTGTAGAAGAAGTTCATTGAGCTCTTACAGACAAAAAAATGTTGTTAGTTTATTTAGTTAGTTTAGTTGTGTCTAATAACATCCAAACACAGAAACCTTGACTTGAATGGTACCAGTACCTATCTTTTACAAATTATTTGCAGTGGCCTATATTACGGACCATGGCCCACTAGGTTGGTAACATTATTGAAAATGATACGTTGATTAACAATGCATTTAAACGTCAATATACGTAACAGCCAATTTACAGTATTCTTTGCTTTTTGGAAATGCCACTTTGCTATGTCATTTGCATTATTTGTTGCCAATGAAGCCGCACGCCCATATAAACGAAGAGGCCCCAAACCGTCGATTTCGACGGGTTTCTCCTAGTCATCTATAATACGCTAAGCAGATTTTTGTAAACAGAACTCCTCCCACATTTTTGGACTGATTTTGATGATTAAAGTGTCAAAAAAATGGCCCTGATTTGTAGTTTTGCAAAGTGTTTTTGGTTTTTTGAAATCTTTATTAGTTTGGACAGGATCTTCCATCAAAGTTGGGTTTTCTCCCATAAGATTAACATGGGGGGATCTAAATATTTAATTGGAAACTTTGTCTCCACTAATTTGAGAGAACGGCTGGACGTAGAAACTTGGTAGAGGTCTCCAAAGAAAGGCCTTGGTCTGTAGATGAGTTATCAAAAGAAACACGAAGTAAATTCCCTTAGGGCTCTGCCCCAGAAGCCTTTAAAGATACCTCGACAAATTTGTTTACATTTTGGCCATGTGGATAATACTTTTTAATGAAACAGCTGTTGATTTTTCTATTGTGTTTTAAACAACACACATTTATTGGGAGTTGACTTACTAAATTGTCCAAAAGAAGTATTTGCAATGCTATTTTCTGATTTTAAAATTTATTTTCTTCTTTATCATGTCATGTTTTGCAATATAACATTCCATTACGAAATCAGTAGAAATTCCTTCACAGAACTCTTACAATAATTTCTTATTGAACTAGGCCTACCTTATATATCTGCTGTACGGGTTGTTGTCTGCCTTTTCCCCCACTTTTGCCTACATTTTATCATTTTATTCTACAGATCATCATAGGTTCACGAGATTATTGTTATACATGTTTTCAATCATTGGAAAAATCTTCGATTGTGTAATACAATACAAAATTAAACAAGTGCAGAGGGGCACGTTGCCCATTTGAGCAGTGTCCATATTTTGCCAAATTAATAGTAGTTTACAGCAAATAGATCAAACATTTTACAATATTTATGTAGAAATATGTGCATGGTGCATGATTTAGAAAATCATTAAGCTGTAAAACTGCAATTTACTACAGACTTTTCAGAGAGGTTACTTCGATGTTGTTAATTCAGCTTAGTGAAAACATAATATAGATAAGTATACAAATAATAATTTGAACTCTTAGAGAGCCTTTGAATGTTATTAGAATAACAAAATGGGTTGTGAGTGTTTACTAACGCTACTCAGCAACAAAAAAAAATATCTCTAAAAATATATTCTTAAAGTGCACTGAGCAGCAGCCTCGAAAATACTATGTAACTTACCCATATAGTTACAAAATACTCAAACTCAAATTGTGACATTTATAATTCAGCTTTTCTCCAGCAGATTATTTATCTGCAGAAGAAGTTTATTGTGCTCTTATGTAATAACATCCAATCACAGAAACCTGGCCTAAAATGGTACCTATCTTGACAAGTTATTTGAAGTGGTCTATATTACGGACCGTGGCTCACTGGGTTGTTAACATGATTTAAAATAACACGACATTTTGGCTGTAAAAATACACAAAGAGTAAATACTATTTAAGCAGCTACTGTCATGACAGAAAGGTCATATTCCTTTTAAACTAGATCACATCATCCTTTATAAGATTCGTTGTTTAACAATGCATGTAAACGTCAATATTTACGTAACAGCCAATTTACAGTATTTATTGCTCTTTCCAAATGCCGCATTGTTATGTAATTTGAATTATTTGTTGCTAATGAAGCCGCACAACCATATAAATGAGGAGGTCCCTAACAGTTCAAGAGTAAAAGCCAACTTCACTTCAAGTATATTCCACTACACCTAACTTTCCGTAGATGAATAATTAGCGTAAGCGTTGACAGTGACCGTCGATTTCGACGGGTTTCACCTAGTCCTAGTTTTCACAGTCTAGGTTATTAGCCCGGAGTGAAGTGAAGTGACTCGACTCGGACTCGGACCGAGTGGTGAATGGACTGAGACTGACTGCCGCTGCCGGTCGCCGGAAGTTGCAGAGGCAGACCGCAGCGCAGACCACAACAGAAAGAACACAACAACACATGCGGCGCGGCGACAACACGTGCTCAAGAGTGAAGTTGAAGACTCTTCTAGTCTCTCTACTAGTCTAACTGTATACTCTCTACTCTAGTCACACTGTCTGTCTGTCATCTCATCGCCCATCCGATGTTCCGATCAACTCATCACTACAGCACTAGCACAGAATACTGACGACAGACAGCAGTCGCAGGTTAAGCAGTGCAGTGGTAGTACTATGGTAGTGGTAGTTAGTTGGCAGTGCGTTTTGTGGTAGGCCTAGGTTTGTGCTGTCAACTCTTTTAAAGAGTAGGCGCACTATGATTTTTGTTAAACAAAGTTGTCAGTTCTATTAATGTGTTGGTTAACTTATCTTCGGTTGTTTGTGTGCCCGTAGTGATATTTAAATATTTTGAAAATATGAATAGGAAGAGGAAAACTCAAAGGTGAGTACTATTTTATGTTAAATATGTTATTTGAATCTTTTGTTGTCTCTAATATTGGTGGAAGGAGGTTTGTTTTATATAGCTCAGTTTTTTTGTAAGTGTTTGTGGTTTTTGTCTGCAAGAAGCATTGTCTGATTTCAACACCAAAAGATTTAAACAGTCTAGTGTTGAATATTGTCTCGTTGAGGGAATAAATTACATTAAACCGTTATTAATAATGAAACCATCTTCAAATATATTAAAACAGTAAGTAACACGATCATTTGGTCAAATATACACAAATTTACATTCTTTCTCCCATTAGCTTGTCAACATAAGCCTTATCATCAATTTTTTTCATTTATGACAACTTCTAATTTGAACCAACTAGCAACAAAAAGCTTTGAAAATGAGAATTTCACATTTTTATTGTTAAGGGCAGACATAGAACCAATAGCACACCATAAATTAAAAGAACCAAACATTCTTAAACCGTGTCTTCTCCCTTTGCAAACGCAAAGCACGAGTATAACTCCAATAATCATTTTAGCGAATTTCCCTATATAGGGAAGTAGCTATTACCGTAGGTGGCACGGTAAGACCTAGACCCGGGACCGATTTACTTTTTCATTTTGATGTCCCCAGAGGCCAAAAACACCATTCGTTCAAATTTTTATATATGTATATATATATATATATGTAGACTTATATATATATATATATACGTCCGTGAACGCGATAACTTGAGTAATTTTTGTCCGATTTAGTTGAAATTTGAATTAAAGGTGTAAAGCGGGATAAACTTGAATGAGTTCGCGAACCAGCACGATCGGACCATGGGAACGGGGCTTTACGGGGGGTTTTATGGGGTAAAAATTGGTTTTTCTCACTTTTGACCCTCAAAACACAAAATTTCCCGATTTCTCTTTAGACCTTTTTAAAGAGCTTAAAAAAAAAATAATTTAGTATATAAAAGTATTTTTGTTCAATTATTAGTAACGTAGAAAATTTAAAAAAATGTAAATTTAAAATTCCCATGTTATTCTTATGGAGAATATTGTAAAATGTTTTAGTTTGCTTTTTGATCAAACTTGGCAAATTTATTTATTTTGTAGGGCCTACTAAGCTATCAATATTTTACTCAAAAACACACTTTATTAGTTTCCTTGTAGCAGCAAACCTAGGTACTCGTTAAACCTAATGTTATTAAAATATATTTAACTGAAAATCAATTCAGACAAATGGAAATTCGCTTAGTCGGCAGGTTTGCTGCGGCGGGGGTATTATACTTATACGCCAACCCCGTACAAAGGACTCACACTCTGCTAGTATACAGGGTGTCCCAGAACTCTCTACCAATATTTTAGGGCATTGATCCTGGGTAAGAAACATACCTAAATATCATATTTAAATTGTCCGGAAGTCCTTAGTTACTCACACAGCCGCCATTTTGTTTTTTTCTGTTATTAATTTTTTTCTAAAGAATGGTTAAACATACGAAATGGAAACTTTGCACAAACATTTATGACAACTAGACAAAGCTAAAAAAAATAGGAAGATTTTTATAATTCATAAATCAAATTGGCGGCCATTTAAAATTTTCTTTCTTAAATAATTAAAAAACCATTGATTTTACAAAAATTTTAAATGACCGCCATTTTGTTTTATGAATTTGAAAAATCGTGATAATTTTTTAGTAGCCTAGCTTTGTTTAGTTGTCATAAATGTTTGTGCAAAGTTTCCATTTAGTATGTTTAACCATTCTTTAGAAAAAATTAATAACTGAAAAAAACAAAATGGCGGCTGTGTGAGTAACTAAGGACTTCCGGACAGTTTAAATATGATATTCAGTTATGTTTCTTACCCAGGAGCAATGCCCTAAAATATTGGTAGAGAGTTCCGAGACACCCTGTATAATAAGTGAAGGCGATTTCTATGAAACACTACTCCTTCGTTAATAATGGACAGATTTTTACAAAGGATGTGTCAAAATTAAGTTGTTTTTTCTTTTAATAAAAGTCCTCGGGCTTTGCCCCACAGGTCATCAAGATCCCAACGTATTCCTTATAAAAAAATTGGCAGAGGATACGCGTCCGGTAACCGGACGTGGATTAGACGTCCGGCAATTACTGTCATAACCTAACCTAACCAACCAAACTTGCTGATAGTGAAAAAATCGAATTAAGGTGAAATTCTTTCTCTATAAAAAAAATTATAAATGCCAAAAATTCTAATAAAAGATGTACAGTTAAGAATAAATGGTATTCAATGCAAAACTCTTCGACAAAAAGTTAAAGTCATCAATGGGATTCGAACCCTGGACCTCTTGCATATCAGCCGAGCACCTTATCCACTACACCACGAACACCGATGGCTGGTCATTGTATTGTTGTGGTAAAGGCGTTCCAGGCTCCCGCAACCCCATGACGTCATTGCCGTACGCCTTATCCACGTCCGGTTACCGGACGCGTATCCTCTATGAAAAAAATTACCGACCCAGATGTTTAATAACTCTTACTTCAGTACGGTATACTGGATTTTGTCAAGATAAGGCTACAGACAAGTTAATGTTCAGATATTTTGCGTCATGTGCACATGTTGTTGGTTGAAAATAAACAAACAACACAGTTCAGTTCAAAGCTAGGGTTTCCTTTGACTATCAATACAACATCAATACCGTACTTCAAAGTATACAATAGTCAATGATACTACCATCAGGATATTTCCTTTCCTGCATTTTCACATGGACATTTTTTTGTGTCTGCAAGTCAGGGAAATTCCTTTGGAAGCTTAACATATTTTTTATAAACACTATACCGTATAATGAACGAGGTAAGCTCCTGAAAAGTTATAAAATACTTACAATAGCATAAATAGGTACAGTAGAGTCCCGCAAACTCGGCGTAATGTGGACTGGAAGGGTGCCGAGTTTGTGAAATGCCGGGTTATCGGGAACTAGGGTTAAAAATAAGAACAATACAATTTTTAAGCTTTTTAACTGCCTCTTTTATTTATATTTATGTTACAAGTTAGTATTAAGTCATCAGATATAGCACAACATATCCTTGCTACGAGCTGCAAATGATTTGACTTGATCTGGCTTGAGTCCAGGTTTAATTCGGACTCAAAAATTCACTAATTTTCTGAGCCAGGTGATGGCCGAGTTATCCAGACTTCCGGGTTATCGAGCGCCGAGTTTTCGGGACTCGACTGTATTGTCTAAAAGGAGCTTTTATTGACAGAGAGATTTACTTGTATAAGATTGGTACTTAATATTTAATAAGTTGAATCTAATAAATGGACATAAAATAATTTTCAGAGTTATTTATTTAGAATTCTCTTTTTTTTTAATAACTCATCCCTAGCGCTCATTTGCTCGATTTTGAGCAAACGGGTACACTATATTCTAATGTACAGAAATAGTAAAGGCAACACATTTCCTATTGGGCTACGTATTAAAAAATCGTAGTGTTGCATCTTAAATAAAAAATATTAAGTTTATATACAGTTTGATCCAACAAAACCACATCATATTTTATATTAAACTACTCATAAATTATTAAAATAACAACCTACCTATAATCTATAACTTAGCAACTATACAATGATTTAAAACCTATTTGCAGTACCAATTCCTCGACCCGCAACCGAGGCCAAAGTCAGGATGCCCGAGGTCAAAGTCAGGTTGTGCGAGGTCAAAGTCAGGTTGCGCGAGGTCGAAGTCAGGTTGCCCCAGGTCCAAGAGAGGTTGCGGAAGTGATGACAAATGCAAGAATGAGAACTCCCATGACATTGAGGCCTCTACAGGAGAGAGGTAACTTAATAATCAATTAGTAGGCCTAGTAATCAAAGTTATCAAATTGCGACCTCATGGGTTGTTTAGACCAGTTTTGGTGCTGATTTGAGAAAAAGGTTTTGGATAATGTAAGCGTCGTTCTCAGAACTTGTGGTAGGGCCAAACCACTTTTCCCATTAATCAGTCAAGGATTTTAAGTCATCAGAAAATTTGCAAACCTCATGGCGTGGTTACTTGTAGATTTAAAAAGCCACTGACCTGCTCAGAGAGAACGGCAGAACCAATGAGGCATTGGTAGTTCACAAGGGAGGTGCGAAAGCAACTCAGATTGCGATTTAACCTGTATAGTAGTTTCGGGCTTCTAACAATTGAAAAGTTACTCTTGCAGTTAAACTAGTCATCTTTACCTTCAAAGAAAGTTTCCAATAGTTGGCCAGTAGGTTTTCTCTTTCTTTTCTAAACCTTTTAGGGTATAAAACGCAATATTGAGTTAGTTTCCTCAAATCATTCTTTTGTTTCGGTCTTTCCAGTCTTCGTGTAGTGGATTCCAAATAACTGGTCCCTGTTCATAAAAGTAAAAAAAAACTGTATCACTACATAATTCTACTCTTTTTTTATTCCCGGGTACTTCAACCACAACACATATCAGGAATTCCAAGCGTTCTGCTCAAAGACTGAACAGGCTATGAGAACAGTGTACCGAGAGAGGCAGAGTCTCGACCCAACACAATCGCATTAATATTTTACGAGTTTACCAACTTCGAGCGGACTTCGATTAAAACGGACTGTTTACTGTGATATTCGACTTAAATTTAGGAGAGCATTATATTTAGACACAGGATCACTGGTCTCAAATCTTTCCCACGAGAACAGTGGTTTCAGTACTGCCCACTTCCTGCCGATCTAGTCCGGTTAAACCAATGTGTTGATAAAAATTGTTCAGTTAAAGAGACATCATTTCCGCCCAGTGTAGTCCGGTTAAACCGATGCCCGGTTAAAAGGTGTCCGGATAAGAGACAGTCTACTGTATGTAGGTCATAGCTGAGTAGATTGGCTGCTCACTGGCTAAAAAAGATGTTATATTTCACAATACGTTGTCTTATCAGTTTACCTTATACTTTTAAAATTGTGTATTCAACAGTAACCATTGACAGTGTGGTAACCGCTCTGACAGTGGATCCATGACGTTAATTTTGTATTTAAAACTGGCAACAGCTGTTCATGAAAATGGAATGCTTACTTCTATCAATTGTTAAAGCAACTTGTCAAACCTTTATCATTTTCAGTTACCAACCCACAAGAAAATAGAAGGAACACTAGTGGTGATGATGCGACCAAGACGTCAGCCAAGAGAGCACCTAGGCGTCCGAGTTTCAGGATTATTCAACCGCAGAGATGTCAAAGGGTCCGATATGTTCCTCAGATTGTGTCAGTTGCTCCCATGCCAAGAACTACAGTCAATCCCACCATCTACAGCCCTGAGACAATGTTTGGAACAGAAGCCGTCTACAATCAACCCAGTTTTCAATTCATGGAGCAGGCACTACCTGACGCTTTCCCTGCGTACTGTAGTCAGGACGATGTGGGAGTAAGTTTTGTGTTTGAAGAAAATACAATTACAGCGTACAATATAAATATACAGGGTATAATTTGTTAAGTGAATTATTTTAACCCTAGATCTGGCGCTGGTGGATAATTAACCAAAAAAACACAAGTCATAAGTGGCACTATCAACCAAGACAACATGGGTTGGGTTCTTCTATTATTCAAATATGTTAATATATGATGTGCTTTCTATTATTCAAATATGTTAATATATGTTGTTTTTTCTATTAAATTTATTCCATAATTAATAAATTAATTGAATTCAATATGAAAACAGGTTTAAACCGCAAATGAGTCGCCATTAGAAAGATGAGATTCTAAGGATTCATTTTTCATATATAAACCATTATTGAGCAAGTGACGATGTTCTTAGAAAGCGGTGATTAAACTGAACTTGAACTGCTCTCAAAACAAGTTCAATTAAAAAAACTAATATTTTTTATAAGTGAGGGCGGATAAATCCGCTTGTCGGTCTACTGTAGTCTGAAGTCATGTGTATATTAGTTCCTGGTTAGAACCTATCATATACTAAGATGTGAAGGAGTTTCAAAGACAGCAAAAAAAAAAAACTTATAATCACATTTCAGGAATGGCCCAGTGATTTGGATGAGTTGGTTGCAAACTGGGACGAAGAAGGAAATGTGTGGGATGTCATTAAATGGTTGCCGGCTCCAACACACACTGCAGTTCCGACACCTCGCATGGTTACCTACGTTCAAGAGATGATGAGCGAGTGGGACGAAACGTTTGACAACAAGTGTCTACAAGTAATGGAGTGGCTCGGATACCCAGACGTGGCCTCGCCTCAAGTTGAACCACCAAAGGTAAGCATGGGACAGCCCTGTGATTTTCACTGTTTCTGAATGAGTAAGATTGATTATAAGACGGCAGGCAGTTGGAATAAAGGTTTTGTCTTCTGCACGCTTTTGATAGGGCCATTGACTATTGGATACTGAAGTAGACATCGCATCTATATGGACCAGCTGTCGCCTATTTTTTATTAAAACGAACAAAGTTGTGTGAGCCAGTTATTACCACAGAATGTGCTATACATTTGACATGAAAAATGCTAATAGGTAACTCCACAGAGAAGTAAGATACAGAGGATATATAAGCTTATGGGAGAACCGTGCGGATTTAGCTGCCTGATATGTTGAGGCGGGAATGATCTTGTAAAGAGCCAGGAAGAGCCCAAACGGCGATGGCCACATAACGTTGTTCAGCAGTTGTAGCGCACATAGTCTTTCTACAGCCTGAGCACTGTATTACGTGATAGCAAGGGGTGGAAAGGAGAGTGGGAGGGAACGACAAATAGAATTTGCTCAAGACATTAGCGACTGGTGCTAGACACCAATAAGTGTACTGAATGTATCCTCTGTTTCTTACTTCACTGTAACTACTGAATTTAAGAAAAAGAAAAATACTAAGGGATTTTGAACTGTACAACAAAACTGCTTAGTTTACTGCGTATATAACTTTCAGAGATCAATCCCTTATCCAATTATCAGCTGTCATAATAGCGGTAATAGTTGAGCAGTCTGCATTATAAGGGTCCAAATTATAAGGAGATGCTTGGCTGTTTAGTTGTGTTTCTCTCTTGTCCAATAGATATGGGTAGTCATGTGACAAGTCGAGTACTTTCCTGACTCGAGCTGAGTCAATTCAAACAAGTTCTATTGTGTAAGTTCAACTTCTCTGAGTGGCGGTATTGTAGTTTAACTATTTGCGAGATATGTAAGACTGAAATTCAACGGAGTGAATAACAATTCATTGTGTAGCTCCTGGACTGTTTAATTATACAGGGTGTTTATAAAAGAATGCCGGGATTTTAAACGTTCGTTGCTCGGGAACTATTCAAGATAATTAAATGATTTAAACCTCAAATTGAAGGGACTTTTGATACAATTCAGAATAATTTAATAAAATTCAGAATTTCATCAATCTTATTTGAGGGTAAAACTGGCCAAGTCTGTACGCTTAGGATCTTCGGCGGGCAAGTTTATCTGTTGTCTTAAGTAAATCTTTTTAGGCACAAAGACTATCTTTTACTGATAATATCTTTTACTGATAACATCTTGAAGTGTTGATTTAGTTATGCTCAACTGACTTCGTCCGGCAATCCAGTTTTTGGGGCTTCTGATGCAGATTTCTTCGACTATGTCATCGCTTGTTTCTAGACAGCCAGCTGAATGTGTTTTTTAAACACTACGGTGCCACGAAACTCAATAAATCAGCGGCAAATTTCTTTAACATCAAGTAGTTTTAAATTAAGTTTAATTTAGCAATTGATGTATAAACTCTGTGAACCACAGTTTACACTCTGTGCCTTCTGTTGCGCCGTAAATATTGCACTGGTGACGACTGGCAATAGCGGCCTACCATTCCGCACTCCGCGCATACCAAGGTCAAGTTTACTCTCTTGCTACACGGAAAAGAAAACTTAGTTATTTTAGCTTCAATTTGACGTATAAAACGTTTAGTTACCTTGAATAGTATCCAGGCAATTACCATTTAAAATCCCGGCATTCTTTTATAAACACCCTGTAGGCTATTATTATAAGGTTCATATACCTTTACGTCAACAGTCCAACAAAGTAATGGTGAAACTCACTACATGTTTCGCCTATTCAGACATTGTCAAGTGATCTTACAATAATTTTTCATCCACTAGTACACTCGTCAAAAATATTTGAATTTGAAATTTTGTACTCGATTTTGGCCATTGATTTTTTCCTAATTTATCTATTGACCATGCATCTGTTTACCTTTCCTTTGGTAAAGAAGAATTTTTTATGGATTATAAATACTTATGACTTATTGGCGTGTAAGTTTCGTGAGTCGGACTTGCCAATGACTTTTCAGTTTTCTCAAAGTTCAGCATTTTCTGCATGAGTTGGTGGTTTAACTAGTTGACTCGACCATGTATTTTGGTGGAGTTTTACTCTTGGTTTGACTCAATAAAGATGGTTATCCCAAGTTAAAAACAAACTGACTTGAGTTGACTACTCGTTAGCTTGACTCTTCACATAACTAATTATGAAGCGTGTTCAGTGATATAATTTGCAAGTTTAAGTTTATCAAAGAGATAACGTTTGCAGGTGGTAGTGGAGGCCCAGCCCAGCTCATCACAAGCCTACAACCAGTGGTCATCAATGAATGAACACACCTAGTCCTGCAGCAACAGGTTAATCACCATCAGCTTTTATCCGAATTTGTTGTTTAGTCCTTTTTTTATTTTAGGAGAGGCTGAAAGTCTGAACCTACATAGTACATAATCTATGGTTTAGCAATACTTATATAGTATTTATTTTACACAGAATTTAATAAGTAACATATTTAGACAGCAATGGGTCTGGTCTAACCTAAAAATTTAGTTTCATTTTATTACCATCAGATCTTTTATCTGAATTTGTTATTTAGTTCTTTTTTATTTTAGGAGAGGCTGAAGTCTGAACCTACATAGTACATACTCTATGGTTAGCAATACTTATATAGTATTTATTTTACACAGCAGTCAATAAGTAACATATTTAGACATCCAGCAATAGGTCTGGTCTAACTTCAAAATTTAGTTCAGATCTTTTATCTGAATTTGTCGTTTTGTTCTTTATTTCTAAGTGATATGGCTTGGCTTAACTTGTACGGTTTAGCAATGCTCATTCAGTATTTATTATACTTTGTTATTAAGTAACAATATTTATATGAAATGTGTTTATATTCCTATCAAGTGCAATATTTTGATATTGAGTGATTTCTTTCTTTTTACAAGTTAAGAGGTTTGTGTTTAAAGTATTATTTGCATTTAAGTTGATAGCAACCATATTTTTAATGCTATCAAGTATTTTAGTTTTATGCGTTTTCATATTTACATTTTTCTTATAAATAAGTTTCATGCTTTAGTTGTTATTTGTATTGTTTATTATTTGAATAAAATAATTAGTTAACAACTGGTTTGTAACACTTTTACCATTAAGTAATAAGTTTGTCTATCTACCGGTAATAAGTTTGTTTATTTACTGGTAGTAAGTTTGTCTACCTACAGGTAATAAGTTCGTCTATCTACCAGTAATAAGTTTGTCTATCTACCGGTAATAAGTTTGTCTATCTACCAGTAGTCAGTTAGTCTATCTATCGGTAATAAGTTTGTCTATTTACTGGTAATAAGTTTGTCTACCTACAGGTAATAAGTTCGTCTATCTACCAGTAATAAGTTTGTCTATCTACCGGTAATAAGTTTGTCTATCTACCGGTAATAAGTTCGTCTATCTACCAGTAGTCAGTTAGTCTATCTATCGGTAATAAGTTTGTCTATCTACTGGTAATAAGTTCGTCTATCTACCAGTAGTCAGTTAGTCTATCTATCGGTAATAAGTTTGTCTATCTACTGGTAATAAGTTTGTCTATCTACTGGTAATATGTTTGTCTATCTACCGGTAATAGAAAACATTTTGTTTGAACATTTCAGATTTATTTCCAGATTAAAGCCTAGTTCCAAAAATGCCTGATTTAGTATCATGAGTGTCTCTATTTCAAGAATAAGTAAAATACATCTACTGTATACTTGTGGAGAAATAATTGCTACTAAAAGTTAAAAAAATTAGGATCGGGCGAGTACTTGACTTTCGAGTAATAATTACTTCTTGACTTTTCCAACTCTCCATCGTAAGTCAAGTAGTGACTACTACTTGAAAATTGGAGTCGATTAGTTATAAAGACATTGCCTATCCATACAAGTTATTGTCTGGAGTTACTTTATCAATGTATTTATTCTTTACCTCACTGAAATGAGTTACCTATGTACTTGGGAAATACCTCCTCTACTTTCTCAATGAAGATCAATTTTCAATGTTTTTATTTAATTATTTGTTCACACCAAAATACTCAAATTTTTAATCAAATACTCGACTCTAATTGAAAAATCACATCTCACCCACCCCTAAAAATATTCTATAACCCTCCCAATAAAGACTAATCGCATTGAAAAAAAAATTATTTTGTAAGTACCCTGAGTTGTAACATTTATAAAATTAACTGATAGAGTTCTAAGTTTGTGGGAATGTGCATTTGCTGAATGATGTTATGCTTGGGGGTTGGATACTGGATTTTTGATTATGTTTAGTACCTAAAGTTCCTATATACATGTAACATCTCTGTCCTATGTGGCTAGTCATCTTTAATATTTATTCCTTGAATTAAAATTAGGTTAGGACTTGCATTTTTTTTAGATTTATAAACTCCCAATCTGTGATTGTCAAAAACAGATCTTGTGATGCGCAATCACAAGAAAATGTATGATTGTATAACAGATTTTTTGTTTATCAGTTTAAAGCTTTATAAAATTTTCCAGCTACTCGTTTAATGACAGGCTAATAAATGACAGACTTTTTATCAATCAAATTTCATCCTCTAAAGTCTTTATAAGGACATTTTGGTCACTGGAAAAGAATTATATTAAAAACTTAAAATGTATGGACAATATTTATAATATAGAGACTTTTCCCAAAGCGTTACTAAAATATAAAAATTCATTTATTATTATAATTAGGTTACCAAACATGTTACGCATACAAAGAACTTGTTGAGATATTCTCCAAATATTGAGTGTAGTTGTTCATGATATCTTGATTTGTTTGTAGTGAGTTAAGTTTTTATACTTTTATAATAAAATGTTTAAATGCTTTGTATTGTTCTTATTTTCCCTTTATCTCTTTAGCTTACATTTCGATTTCATAATATTAGAAGGTCATATATTCTACATTTCAGACCATTACTGCCAATTAGAAATACATTTTTATTGTAAATACTAGCTGACCCGGCGATCACTGGTTCCAAAAAAAGTGTTTCTATTCACCCTGGTTTTGCAAAATCATGATATAACCTAAATAGAAAATAAAATAAAAAAATATAGTTTATTCTAAGGCTAATCTATTAACACACTTGGTTTTAAGATACCTAAGACAATATAAAAAATGGTTATTAACATAAATACATGTAATAGGTTCATACTTAGAGAGAAAGTTTTGAAAAGAATGTTTTTCGCCAAAATTTTCAAATGATGTTTCGCATCATCCAACATCCGAAGCAGTGATACCAATATGCTGAAATAATTTTTCCCAGGTAGATTGGATATGGTTATAATGGGGGAAAATAATTCCCTTATATAAAGTCAATGTATAACAAAGTTATAAAAATGTGAATCATTCATTGAAGTTTTGTTTCTATTCACCCCATTCTACGGTAACGTATCTGTTCTTTTATGGCAAAGAACGTTTTTGAGGTTAGAAAATTAAGAAAAGATACCATAAGACGTGGGTTGAGTAATCCCAGAATATACGTATAAAAGGTATTCATACTGTCTCTGTGATATATTACAGAGTATTGCGATTTAAACATTTAGAATATATCGAATACCACCTCCTGAAAGGTCAATGATCCCGTCTTTTATTGTGATGTGACTTTTGCGCACCCCTCTTCCATCGCTGCGGTGTCCGAGTGGTTAAGGAGTTGGACTCGAAATCCAATGGGCTATGCCCGCACAGGTTCGAATCCTGTCCGCAGCGTTTACTTTTTGCTGCAGGAAATGAATGATATTTGATCACAAATGCTTTTCACATAACAATGACTCGCAAACAAAAAATTTTGACTATTATTAAACCATGTAAACTTTATTATTTTATTATTTGTAAATTATAAAAAGACACCATTTGTTAATGATCAGCTGGAGACACTGTTATAAGATTATTTCACGTCTGTTTCACGCTTGAGCGTGTTAAAGCTAAGTAATCGATACCATTGACTATAGTCAATGTCGATACTTTGTTATTTAAAAAAATTAAAAAGGTATATTATATACGACCAAATAGAACAATATTTATGGCTAAAGAGTAGGGATGTGCCTTGAAATAAGAGTGAAACATTTAATCAAAATTGACGCATTCAAGTTTAGCCGAACATGAAACATTTAACAATAATATCAAGAGTCAACATTGATTTAAAATCTAAAATCTCCATACCGTAATCACAGTTAATTATCCAGGTTTGATTGTTATAGATTAGATAAACAACTATTAAAATGTGCAGTCTGATATGTCATGTCGTCGGAGAATAGACGTCGTGACAATCTAATCAATTTTCTAAAACCTATTAATTGCAACAATGACAGAAAGCGTCGAGTTAACCTATCCTACAATTAACACGACCGGTTGTAGTTATATCAGATGCCAACGAGGCGCTAGCGTCTCCAGCAGCTAGCGCTCCTACTGGCGAACGTCAGAACTGCCAGCGCCAACAATGAAAACAAAACAAGTTCTCACCAACAGGTTGCCAGGTTGGTCGGAATTGCGGCGCGGCATTGAACGCAGAAGTGAATACAGTACAGACTGAATACCTGTGTAGTGGAGTGCTGTTGCTTTGAACTAGGCTATTTAATTAGTGCAGAGTGAATTTTACGTGAGGAATCTGTTCGTTTGCGTAGTTGTGAGTGGTTTCTAGTGAGTCAACAGTAGGTGACACCACTGTTATTGGTGAGTTGTTTGCATTTCGCATTCTTTTGGGCGCTAACTCTAACTGCATGGCAGGTGTTTTGCTAATTATTGCTTAATTTAGTTACGTGTTTAATGGTAAATCGACCTCAATTGGAATTGGTTGTCAGTTGTCATTGATATTTTTGGTGAAATAAATTTTAAGTTAATAATCAATTGCTTCAGCTTTTCAAGACTATATTTTTCTACTACTAAGGATTGCAATGACATTTGAAACACAGTTTCCTTTTCTTAGAACCTTGAATGAGTATTAAAAATGGTTGTTTTATGACAAACAGGGCTTCATATTTCACTGGTATTTAATGTTATACCTTATGGACAAGAGATTTTAATATTAGTGTGTAATAAAACCTATACTTTACTTCTTCACCATATACCATTGAATTTGAACCTAACCATTCCAAACTACAACAAAGTTGTCAAGTGTTAGTGGAAACCTAAAGAAAATGCTTTTATAAAAAAAAAAATCTGAAAAGTAATGATTTTTAAATTTAGGCTACGTTTAAACCCATCTCGTCCTAAAGGCTTAATGCTTTTAATCATAATAATAACATTGATTCTAAAAACAAGTCCCAAAAACAACTCTTGTTAAATTATCTGTACCGGTAGCAGTTTGCTTAAATTGTTTTCTTTGTGAATTTATTAACTAACTAGCTGTACCCGCGGGCTTTGCCCCGTTTAACTTCATACGTGAGCTCGTTCGCATGGCTCAATCACGTCCTGGTTGAAGTTCGTTCGCTACGCTCACTCACCTTTAGGTTGGAGCTCGTTCGCTGCGCTCACACGTCCTGGTTGAAGTTCGTTCGCTACGCTTACTCACCTTTACGGTTGGAGCTCGTTCGCTGCGCTCACTTGCCTTCAGGTTAGCTCGTTCGCTACGCTACCTCGCCTCCGGGTTGAAGTTCGTTCGCTACGCTCACTCACCTTTTGGATTCAAATTACCTGTTGTCAAATATATAAAAAAATAATAGTGCTGCACTCTGTTGGTAATCCTTGTAACTTTAATGCTATTGAACATCATAGAACAGAACCAACTTGTTTAATTGAAACAGCTGTTATGATTCATTAATTCCATTTAAATATGAGTACTCATTAGGTTAACATGGGAAACTCCAGAGCCACTGGGGCGGAGCCCGAGAGTCCGATCAGAACAAAAACCACTTAGTTTTCCTATTTAATGCCTAAAGAATCAGTGTACCAA